GAAATATGGCTATAAGGTTACATCTTTCAGAGGAGGGGTGTGACCTGGAAATTCCATGAAACTGAAATTGGATTCATTCAGGCACGTTGAAAGGCCACTGAACATGTTATTTTTCTCTGGTAAAACCCTAAATATATTTATTTTTTTCCTCAACTTTATTCCTTGACATGTAATTATAGACCTTTTTCGTCCTTTCATTGGCTTTAAAGAAATCAGAGTTGTTCATAAGAAGCCCAGATGTGTAAGTTTACTGTATGTTTTAGAATACAAAGACGTGATTAGAAATATTGAAGAGAGAATTACCTTTAGATCACTTCCTATTTACATTAAAGATATTACTAATGTATCTAGTCATTTTTCTTCTCCACTTTTGGTTATTTCCTCTTAGTTATCATGTCTTTTGTTTTCTTGTGGTGTGTGTGCATGTGCATGCTCGTGCGTTTCATTTTGTAAATCTGCAATGATTTGAATGATTTTACATTTTTTGTGTGATCAATGACATGCCATATTGTGGGTTTTTGAAATAAAGAAATACAAGGTGTTTTCTGTTTGCTTTTTAATCACTACACTATCCCGCATTGGATAAAGAAAATTGATTTCGACGTCGCATTAGAGTTGTCCTTTTTAAAGCCAGCAGGTTTGTCGGGAGCTGTATATAGGTTAATTAATTATAATTCAAACAAGTCACAGAGACTTGTATCTTAATTTATAGTATGTCACTGACTTTGGTGTAGAAAAATATTTTATGGCTAATGTTCAAATAAAATTCTAGGAGTTTCCATGTTGAAATATATACCATTTGACATACCTTTGGAAAAAATTAAGCATTTTAATAAAATTACTATTCTATGATTAAGCATGACAGCATTATCTAACATCTTAGTCAGAAGCTCGGGGTTGATTGCTGAATCTTTTTTAGCCAGCTCCTTCAGTATGGACCCATACCTTTTGATTAATTGCATCGCAAACTGCATCTTGTTTCCTATCCCAACCTGTACCTACTCTTCTATAATTGGCTTATTTAATTGGAGTCCTATTAACCCCAAGGGGTTGGCTCAAGTGGGCAAGTCACTTGGCTTTGGTGCCTCGGGTCGGATCAGGTCTAAGGTTCGACTCCTCTTGGGTGCAAACAATTCCTTGAGGGGGGGTGTGTGAGTATCAACTAGGAAAAAAAAATTGGAGTCCTATCTAGGAACTAAACAAAATAATGAAATGCTTGAGGTGGCAAAAAATCCCCAGGGAACATCTCAAAAGAAGTTTGCCCTTTGTAAGTCAATCTTAGAACTCATGAAATAGAATCCAGGTGGATTCACCTAAAGCTTTTGTGATAGCTGTTGGGCTCCAAGGTTATGCCATGGTTACTTATTCCATTTTTATTTATTTATTTATATATATATTGCTTAGCTTACCGGGGGAAAAAAAGGTTGGAGCTGAATTTTTTATTTATTTATTTATTTTTTTTATAAGTAAATTTTAAGTGCTTTTTGTGAATTGAAAATTTCTTTGATGCTTGTTTGAATTTAAATCTTCAATATTCAGTGACAAGTGTTCAATATTTTAAAGTAGAAGGTCAAGGTCGAGACAAAAAGTGGATACATGAGTTTCTTGCCATGGTTAAAAAGAAGGAAAAAAAAAGGATAAGGAAAATAATTAGTAAATTGATTTACCAAACAAGACCTTACTCATTTCAGCAGGAATCACACCCACATTAGGATGAGGGAACCACTCGCACATTAAATCTGTAATTTGCAACTCTTCTTAAATTTTATTTTTCCTCCACAAGGCCAAGGACTATGGATTCTCTTCCCAGTCACATGAATTGCAACTTAGTAACTTATTTTCTCTTGTTTATAGTGTTTTGATATCATCTCATGCTACCTTCTATAGTTTGATGTTTATTACATTATTATTATTATTATTATTATTTTTTGCTGATATTCCAATTGACTATTGAATTGCAGATTGGAGATAAGGCTATTGTTTTATGCTTTGTTGAGTTTGGTGATTCCAAATGTGCTCTTACTGCTATGAATGCTCTTCAAGGTAAACTATTTTTAAGTTTTGATAATTGTATGATCTATCGATCGGGTTGTGTGGGAAAAAGATATCCACATTAGGTCACCTTTCTTGCTATGATGGAACAGGGGAATTTAATGGGCATTAACTATGCTTTTATACATGCAATTAACTACTTTCAGAATTGGTCATGGTGCGTAACATTAAGTACTCAATTCCAGTAGCACATGCACCAAATTATATGCTAACAATTTACATTTTTGTGAAAAAGGAAAATAGGTCATTGAGTTGTTTTGTTGGACACTTGCTCTAAAGAAATAAAATGATGCCTTATTTATTTGTTGTTCTGTTGGAGTATTTATCATTTGATCAAGTTATGAAATGTTTTATCTTCTGCAGGTTACAAATTTGATTACAAGAAACCCGACACCCCTGTACTGCGGATACACTTTGCACATTTTCCTTTCTGCTTACAATCTGATCATGGCAAGCGAAGGTTTTAACCACTATGACCACGAACATATGGGTGGGACAACGAGCACTCTGAGATGCTTTAAGGAGTACACATGCGAGCTGTTAGAGATGCACTTAATTTTTGGTGCGATTGTTTTGTAGGAAGAACTGTTCTAAGTAATAGCACAAAGTTTGTCATCTTGTATGAGCAATCTGATTAGCGAGTGTTTTGCAGCTCTACCAGTGTTATCATATAGAATCAGATTTTTGTACATGACAGACTAATAAAAAATGGGTAGTGGTTTTTATCCAATCATGTCAGTCATTTCTAATGTTTTCTTTAAGTCACTTCAGAAATTGATTATATAGCAGAAATTTGGAGAGCTATTCCTTCATATTATTACCATTGTTGTTGTTATTATTTTCTGGAGATGGAAGGAGAGTCAGGCTGAAGTTAGTTTAGTGCGATTCCAGCTTCTGAAAATTTTTGATTCGAACGAACTCATAAATGTTGTCAGGTTGGCTTGAGCTCGTTTAATTATAAGTTTAATACCATGAATGCCCAGCTATGGGCAATTCATCATTTGTTTTGATCAGTTGACCAATAGTTTCGCAACGAATTTTAGGCACATCAGAGTAAGGCATGGTTTGACATTAGAGTGAGACATGGCCAATGTTGATCCAAAACATATGAATTGTGATAGTGATTCTGAAAACTTTTACTATGATCGTGATGGTTATCTAATCATAATGTTTATATATGAATTTATTATGTATTGTCATTCACATAATAAAATGCCAATTTCAATTATGCTGTCAATAAACATGAAATTTTCCATGACATTAGGCAAATAAAACTTGTTAGATCTATGTTAAGTGGGTCTACAAAATGAGCAAGTGCCTGAAAGTTGCAAGTCTTATTAAAGACCACGTTGTTTCATTTTCTTCTAAATTGACAAGGGAAGAGTAATTCAACCTTGAGAAAAAGATATAAGCAGGTGACAACATCACGGTTGTTAAAGCAAGCACTCAGCGCAGTGTGGGGTTTCTTGATGTTAAGCTGTCAAGGCTGTTGGTATCACTAACCCAACCCTATTGTTATTGTCATTCTACCCCTGTAAATTTGAACCTTGGGGCCAGTGCCTCCTAAGAAATTTAATGTGTGTTGTGTTTGTGTGTGTGTGTGTGTGAGAGAGAGAGAGAGAGAGAGAGAGAGAGAGAGAGAGGGAGGGAGAGAAGGATGAATTATAAAAGTCTTTAATGCTCTGCTCTGTGTTTCTACAGAAACTGATATGCACTAGAAAATAAGTGAAGTGTTGGGACTTGGGAGATCACAGATCAATGTATTCAGGAATCATTTTCTACCCCTTCCATATAGCAGTGAAATATGGGAAAAGCTATTTTCATTTTGTCCAGTGTGAATTGGATGCATATGTTGGGCATGAAACGCACCATCCCGAGGATCTGTACAAATCTCTAGCTAGTGTTTTCTTTATTGTGAAGACCTAATCTCTATCTACATAAAATAAACATAAACAAAGGAAAAAAGAAAAAGAAAAAGAAAAGGGGGTGGGGGAATCCAAACTAGCATGCAACCGGGAGCTTCAATCATCTCCGGTATTGGAGAGGGTCTAGTACACCACCAACGCAGAACCCACCATCAGCGGTGAACAAGCCTCCACAAACATCATTCACTTTCTCAGCCTTAATAGGTCACAAATTTTAGCAGCTGTCTCACTTGACTGTCACATTCTTCAACTTACAAATCAAGACTTAAATACAATTTTTCTCCAAGAGATTCAGGCATATCCTGCCTCCCAAGCCTGTTTGCTAACAATATCTCTGTCTGAAACTCAAAAATCAATTCCTCAATCTTTGTACTTAGCGAATGAACTGAATTCAGATATAACGTCAGTTTATAATTAGGCACTTGACATCAGCTGAAAGCTCAAGAAGGCACTTTGTGTTTGATTCATGACAACCAGTTAAGATACCCAAATTACTCAAGTTAGAGCTGAATTTAAATTAAAAGAGAACTCAGAAACATCAAAAGCTGTTCAATAAAGGGAAATCCAAAACTTATATGCCAAATAGCTCCAAGACAGGAATTGGAAATTTCTATTTCCATTTTTCATATCAAACACAAAGGCTCAGTACTGAGAAGTGTAATAGATAACACCTTTTCTGAGCAAAGAATCATCATAATTATTTGAGAAGACGAAACCTCTTCATTAACTAAACTGAGTTCAAATTATTTATTCCATAACACATTGCGACCGACAATACGTGAATGTAATTATATTAGTTAAAAATATTGCTACTAAAAAGTTCAGGAAATACTAACTAAGCCATGTCTTGACATATGCTTAGGTATACAAGAGGGAAATCTAATAATAGTTTCTGTATAACTGTGGCAAAGGATGTCGAGTAGATCATGGTTCTCTGAAATCCATTGTTATATATGTTTTTAAATCATCTGAAAACAATCACAATTCATTGCAAGCAAAATAATAATAATACAGAGGATACAATTGATGTCAAATTTCATTAATATCTTATTTTGTAACTGAAGAAAGGGAAATGTCAAATTTCATCCATCTCTAAAATGGAATTGAAGTATGAGGACTGGGTTACATCCTATCTATGCTATCTATGAATATAACTTTGGCCTGTAAAACATTATACATCCATTTGAAGGAGAGGAGGGGCAAATAAATCTTCAACAGAGCCCCTTCAACAAATTCTGATGAATGACTAGGGTATGATTCTACAACACAATTGCAACATATCATATGCAGAAAAAAAGAATACCAATGTAAGAGGATGAAATGCAACAACTTTTATGAGATGAAGGAAGTGCCTGCAAGGTTATGGTGCAAAAGATTATGAGCAATACTATCCCTAGCCTTCATTGCAATTGGTGATCTCAATGGAATCTCAGGGACCATAGGGTCATCAATGAGGTCAATTATCAACTCTGGATCCATTTCTTCGTTTCTCATTTCACATATATTGTGCAATACGCAGCACGCCCCAAGAACCACTGGCAAGTCTTGGAGTTTCACTTCTGTTCGCTTTTGCAAGCAACACCACCTTCCTTTCAACCTCGCAAACGCCTCCTTTGCAACCCTCTGAACCTCCCCAATCTTCTCATTGAAAGCATGCTGAGTCCAAGTCAAATGCTGCTGAGTATAGGGCACCAACACCCAATCCATCAAAGGGTACCCTGAACTCCCAACAATAAAAACACCCTTCATTAGCCCTCCATTAGCCCTTTGATAAAGAGCAGACTTTTCCAACACCTGATCATCAGGCATTGACCCAGGCCACCCAATGCACACATCAGTGAAAACACCTTTGGGATCAACAACACCTTGAACAGTAATGGAATACGAAGTCTTTTGATTCCTCTCTGTGTGACGCCTATTGAAGTAAGCAGCCACACTGATCTTTGGGGCAATGATGGGTATGTGTGTAGTATACATGGATCCCACAACATTGGGTATCCCCGAAACCGATTCGAATTCATCCTTAGTCCTTCTCAGCGACTCCTCATCAGGCCATTGAAGAAACTTTGGCATCAAAACAGTCCTTATTGCTAAACAAACCTCAAGAACAAGCTTGTGACAAGTAGAAATGCCCAATCCAAACCTCTTTGACACCAGCCGAAGAGGCTCACCGGTGGCTAATCTCCATATACACACTGCAACTCTCTGTCTCACAGGCACTGCGTCTCTCAACATAGTGTTCTCTTTGGCCACAGCTGAGCTGAGCTCGTTGCAAATCATATCAAACGTTTCTTTCCCCATCCGAAACGCCTTACGAAACTCTTCCTCTGGACAATCATCACTGTTACATTGGTCCCACCAAGCCGTCGATCGGTTCTTGACCCACAGCCTCCTCTGCGGCCCTCCCGCCACCGCTCCTCCTCCGCCGGTCCCCTTCTGATTCGAGTTTTCTGTTTCAGCGGAGGCGGCAATGGTAACGGCAACGGCGGCAGCAGCAGCTCTTGACTTTCTCTTCCTCAATCCATCAGATTGGTCAACACCATCGTAGGAATTCTGTATTTTGGAGTAATAATCAAGCATGGCTCGACTCTTTTTCTTGTGATTGGCTTCGAATGAGACCTTCTCCTCTTGGTGGGTCTTCGACCATTCCTCTTGATCGCACTTCTCTTGCTCATCGATCAACATCAACGAAGTTATGATCTCTTTCAACGCCTTCACTTTATTCCCTTCTTGTTTTTCGCTTCCTCCAATACCCAATTCGCTATCGCCACCATTGTTGCCGTCGTCGCCGCCGTTGGTGTGATTATCCTTTCTTCGTCGCCTTCGCTTGCTATTGTTGCCGGTGCTGTTTTCATTCATTTGATCGAGCGTGTCCTGTAACAAGGTGTAGATGTAAGAGTAATCAGCTTCCTCAGAGAGAGATGTGAGTTTCATATATAGAGAGAGGAAAGAGCTTAAACGAATAGAGAGAAAGTGAAGGGAGATTTGGTAAAGTCTTCGACGGAAGGTGTGAAGGATGATGGTGTGAACGCAGAGAGAATGAGAATGAAAGATGGGGCGAGCAGTCATATATATATATGTCCGTTGTACTTTGTATATAAATATATATATGACTATATGTATATGAAAAGTACAGGGGTTGAAAAAAACGTGTGTAAGGTGTGAACGCGGGTTTGAGGAAGTTTCCAGGAAAATGAAGTTGGTGCAAAGCAAGCAACACGGTGACGGAAGATTACACTTTTCAAATACTAAAATATTATTAAATTAAACATTTTTCTCTCTATTAAATAATTTTGTTTTTCTTTTAACTTTGTCTTTCTATTAGTAATAAAATATGAAGTAGACAATTTTAACATTTCTTTAATTTTCTCTCCTAACAAAGCGGAGAAAAGTAATTTGACTCTTTTTTCCATTATTTTTTTTCTATTTTCCCATTTTTGTTTTCACACTGTATCCTTTTTTTGTGATCTTTTTTGAACAAGGATAGATAATCCACGAATTCTTGGATTGTCGTACAAGGTTTTGGAACCTGTAACACCATGGTAGGCCATCGTTGAGAGTCACAGATAGCATAAAGGACCTGTTTGGATTGAGGTTGGAAAAAAGAACTTCCAACCTAAAAGATAAAATAATGAATGAGATAAGTAACTAACTTTTAGAATATTGCCCCAAATCATTGTTATTCCCTCATGTACATATTAAAAAAAAAAAATTAAATACGTAATAAGAGTTTGGAATGAGAATGGAGAAGATGACTTAAATAAATTGCCGAATGTTGTTTGATAGGTAATATTTTTAAGATTAAAAGAGAAATTTTATCCCGTCCTCTTACATCATTCAATAATAAATAATAAGTCATTTTTAATTAACAAATTAAAGATAATGAATACAGATTTATTTATCAAATCAGAGATGGTGGGTACATATAGTCATATACCATCTTTGATTTAGTAATGAATAAAAAAATGTCTATTTATTTTTGAATAATATTTAAATCCTCACTGTTAAAAATTTACACCATTGATGTGGACCAATAATAAATGGTATTATTTATTTTTTGTCCATATTAGCGATGATGACGAAATACATATTATTTGTCCATATTGTGAGGACTTAAGTATTGTTCATCATATTTTATGACACATAATGTGAGATAGTTAAAAAATAATATAGGCAAAAAGTGAATTTGGTAAAAATGGCTACGTATGGTTGTGCAACAATAAGTATTTTGTTGTCCAATTCCACTAACTCCAAACATTCTTATTTTGAAAATAAAATAAAATAAATGTGCAACATGTCAAAAGAACATTTGAGAAATAGAGAAATAAATTGAGAAAAAATTGATTAAGATGGCCATATGTGTACAGTAGGTCAGGGGAAAGAGGAATACCAAATTTATATGATATCATGTGATTTAACCAAGGTATGTTTTTTTTATAAAGTGATATATAAAAAAAAAAAAGTCTTGTTATTGCTGTTGTTACAGTAGTATAGGCATAATGAAAACCGATATAAAACTATTTCTATATATGTATGTTTAATTGTGGAATTTGACTGAACCGATTTCGTTTTGAATTGATTCCTGTTGGCCCGACAAGATGCCTTTGATTGGAACTTACACACAATAGTCGTTGAAAAAGAGAGAAGAATGTGGTGAGCATCTTTGATTCTTTACCATGAAGAAATTGGGGTTTGACAAACAGGGTATGAACAGAATGAAAAATAATTATTTAATTTGATGGGCATGTAAAAATCAAAGTAGAGCGTTTTGGTTTCACACCTCTTCTATGTGTATCGTCTTGCGTTCTAGATTGCTAAAGTCTTCTTTTAAGTATGAGAATTTTGACTTCTCTTTTTATCAACAATTCATCTTGTCCATTTTTTTTTTTTTTTCACCCTGCCAACAATTCCATCTTGTCGTGTATCGAAAATTTGAGTAAAACCCCAATTAAGTAAGTGGTTAGATTTGGTTAAAACCCCAATTAAGTAAGTGGTTAGATTTTGTATTTTATTTTAAACTTTTCAAATTTTGATAAAAGCTGAGTCATCTCATAATTTTTTTTCTAAAACAGGTCTATAAATTCATTCATTATTTGTGACAGTATAATGTTGTCTTATTCTATTCTCTTTCATTTACATGTGTTTTTTCTTATTGACCAAATAAATCCGTTCCAAATGATTTACAAACTTCAAATGCATAATATTTATTTATTTATTTTAATTACAGCTGTGATCATTTTTAATTCTTAATCATCTCACAAAGCACTAAACAAATATACATAAACGTGTACGGTCGGTGGGATTAGTATGCAGTCAAATGACTCAAATTCAATGAGAAGCCACCTTTAAATGTACAATTGGTCGAATAGGGATAGGGGTTCTCGATCTTCTTTCCAGAATTTAAAGACTGTTCCAATTTTCAAAAGATGCTTAAAGTGACTTTATTTTTTTGGTTTGGTCCTGTTTGGCCTAAGCAAACAACCCTTCATGGACGTTGAACAAAAAATGAATCAATTCATGTCTAAAAGTCCGCCTCGTTCGATCTCCCCTTCTCATCTAAATACTAGCTCTTAACATTCTTATTTTAAATAATAAAAATAATAAAATTAAAATAAAATCATAAGACCTTTGGGAGATTTCAAAATTCAAATCCAAAGAACGAAATCTTAGTCGGTTTTATCTGCCAGATTTCATCCAACAAAGTAGATAAATTTGTCAAAAAATGAGGCTACAATGGCAGTCCACTTTTAATTTTTATGTGATTGACAGCTAAAACACAGCAACACCTTGCATGGAAAAGTCAAAACCCAAGGTCTGATAACATGCAGCAGTCAAAGCATACCATGTGCTTTTATGCAATCTCAAGGCTTTTTGTTTTTGTTTGTCATAAGATTTGCTGTTTTGCCGACGGCTAACATGCGGTAAATCTGGTGGTGCATTTGGATTCCTGTTCTTATATACAGGCTACGTAATAGAGAAAAAACGAAAACATTTATCTTGTGTGGAAAGATCAATACAAAAGAGGGAGGGGTCTAAGATTTGAAATACAATAAGACTTTGGTAGGTGGGGTTGGCCAAAATCCAAATTGTTCACATTCGTTGACCTGATGATGTGCCTTCACTGTTGCTTCTTACAATCATAAAAGTTGACTATGAGAACCACCACTTAAAAATAATCCTGTCCAACAAAATAGACAGACTAAACAGATATTTTTTATTACAAATCTATACCACTAACATAAATATCCAATGCGTTTGTAAATTGTATACTTCACCCAATATTAGACAAAAAGATTAAAAAAAAAACAGAAGAAGAAGAAGAAACAGCAGTAACAAAGTAGATCAAATCAAAATCTTTGGCGAAAGATTTTGACAATTGGTCAAATACAACTCGAGCTTCTCTGGTCCTTAAAAGATTATAACCGCATTGGTTTGCAGTTTCACTGGTCAAATTGCATCGCAAATTTAATAGATGCGGTATTAAACTCATTAATTCCATCAGGGCTCGTATCATTAACAAATCCGTAAGGTTGGCAGATGAGATCACGTGAGAGATTTGCCGGCCCATTCTCGTTCCCGTCGTTTTTGTTTGGCTTGCATTTTGTTGAACTTCTCTTTTCCCTTCTCCAACAGAGGGTCGAATACCACGTAGTCATTTGGGTCCTCTCTGCGAGACATATTATCCTGTGCAATGATGCAAAGGAGAATTTTAGGTGTTATGATAGCAAAGGGGATATCTGGACAATGACTAAATATTATCCCAATCATGTTTTACATATTATCTGAAACAGGTATCTTTTATTTATAGCTTAATTGTTGAGTTGGTCTGTTAAATTCTAGGTCATTAAGTCAGTAAATTATTACGCGTAAGGGGTGAATTCTAGGAAAAAAGGAAATTATCTGGTCACAACTCTTTCACCTTTCCAATTACATCCATATCCCTAATTTTCTAATCAGGATGGATCTTGTGCATTCAAATAACATTTGATACAAAATATGAAACAATTTTAATTCCATTTAGTTCCTGCACACTGCATATAAAAGGGATGGGAACTGATGCCAGAGAGTAGGTAGAAGACTGAAGCATACCTTGCCAGGTTCACGGGCAAACTTTAGCGTAACTGCTGCCCAATCAGACAAATCCTCTTCGTGGACACCTTGAGACTTGCTATTAATTTCAATAGGTTTAGCAGAAATGCAAGCTTTAAACTTTTCAAGTTTTGCTAGCACCTAATAGTTACAAAACCAAAAACAAGAAGTAAACAGATAGATGAGTAAAATGACCATGTAAAGAGAAGCCAACCGGCATCAGAAGTTAAAAAAATGAAAAATATTAGAAATATATATGCAGCTAAGAATCGCAATTTAATAGCCCCTCCCTCCCTTCCCCTTTCTGTATATTTATTTTCCATTCAGTACTTTTTGGAGGATTCCATATTTTCTTTCGCTCCATCTTGTCAAAAACTCAATAAAGCTTTCTTTGCACTATGGTCCTCTCTCTCTCCTTCCAAAAGGATAGAAAACAAAGGATCTTTAATCCTGTACTTCCAGAAAGGTTTTACACACATAGTGGAAGTATTCCTAGGGAAATGCTAGAAAAAAATCGGTGGAAATTTTTTTGGATATATAAAATAAAGGCCCCATTGGGGAAGTTTTCCTTAATGTAATTCACATTTTTACAAGTGCTTTCATCCCTCAAATTCCCTTGATGCGCTCCAAGCCTGCAACCTACAGTGTGTCTATTAAGCATGAATTTTGAATCGATAGTTAGTGCATGATTCCTACTTATTGTTTTGAGGATTCAATTACTATCTAATATGCATTCAGCTACTCCAATAATGAGAGTAATTTGTTGCAACACCTTTCCTGATAGGAGAAAGATAAAACAAAAAGGGCACGGAGAAAATTGAAACATATAAAAAGATCAATCGCAGTTTCATAACATACTTCATCTTCATGTCCTTGCCGTCTGCGCCTCTTTTGTTTGTGCAACTGTCTTTCTCGTTCAGCTTCACCTAATAACTGTAAGTCTGAATCTGCTTTAGCCATAAGATCAGCCCTGGCTTCTGAGCCTATTCCTCTTCTCTTTATGGACAATTTCTCCACTTTTGGTCGGTCATCATCAATTTCAGCATTGGACCTACTATACATGAAATTCCAAGATTAATTCTATATCAATCTGTTTTACATAACTCAAATTATATGAAATCTGCCAATCAGGAAAGGAGATCCTAGATTCATGTAGGAGAAAACCACTCATTTACGGTGGTAAAACAGGTGATAATGTTATCGTAACAGGATTGGCATAAGAAAAGTCGTTAATTATAAACCAACTAAATCAGCAATCCAAGTAAACTTGGTACAACACAAATAAACTAAAATGCACAGCAAAAATTATAAGTTAAAGATATTCAGGGATGTAATATAAAGCTCTGTGCTATAGTGGCAGGTCAAGGCTGCCGCTTTATTGGAAGTCAGCAACTTGCTCTGTGTGATCGTGTGTATAAAAACCACCTAAAAACACGATTATATTCTACGTGATATGACCAGTACAATATTGCACATGCTTTCATGATAGAACACCTGTATGTGGTGTTCATGCAAGCTGCATGGGTGGATGCTAAACATACATCGATTCCATGTACCAAATTGGGATAACAGTGTCATTAAACTCTTTGGAGACAATCACATCCCTTAACAATACCAAAATCTTGAACCAGTTGAAACACAATACAGAATAAAATTAAGAACCCTACCTTGGTGGAGATGTTTCGAGATCCTTTGCGCTGGAATTCTCTGCCAAAAAAAGGGGGGGAAATCAGAGAACTAAAATGCAAAGGAGGATATCACTTACAATGGAATAAAAATCGAAGGATGCATGAAATTGAGCAAAATTGGAGTTGATAGAAAATATTATGGCATTTTCAAGGTTTTTATATTGACAAATTGGCAGACACATCATTACATATAGAGGTCAACTGTAGCACTACTTGCAACTCCCATTACTTTTTATGCAAAGATGCACTGAATTATGTGAATTGATCTAAACATATGCATGGGTAAAGCAAGGACTTTCTAGGACTGGTCATAACCTATTTAGGAAAAAGAAGTACTATGCCAAATAAAAATCAGTTTAATTAACTAAATTTGATTGCTGGAATTTCACACAACGTAACGACAACTGCCACAAAAAGGCGTCATCAAGCCCACTTGCTAGGAAAAATTCAGTCTCTTCTCTATTTTTTTTTTTTTCTTTTATTTCTCAAGATGTTTGCCAATTTAGTCCTTTTGAGTTTGTATATATAGTGTACACACATACTAGAATTGGAATCAATAAGTTGTTTTATGCACAATTAATATATAGATCCAGCCACCACATTGTGCAAAATAATAAACAATCATTCTGTCTATCTCTAATCCTGGAGGATGGCGTACTAATTCAGGCATAATCAGCACCTAGATTCAAGGTGGAGGTCAAAACTGGGCAGGACAGAAGGTGAGTTGCAGAGAAGAATGTGTTGTAGAAGATGAAGAATTGAAATCGCGTGATGACTGATGATCGGGGTGGGCATTATAGTAACAAACATTTGTATCAGGTGCAAGATCATGAAGGTCCACTTTATGTCCACTTCTAGGCAGTGATACTTAGTGTGAGATCGACCCACAAAAATTACGGGTGCACACAAATAAGATGAAGACTTGATTGCACCCCATACTTTGTGTGAGACCGACCCACCTATAACGTCTACTTCCAGGCCCTCTCCAAACTCTATTAGTTCATCTTCTAAAATGCCCACCCAAAACATCACACACACCTGAGTCCTTGAAACATAGCTTATATGCCCCACCTTCTACCACCAAAAAGAAAAGTTTTGCGAGTTAAAACCAAACATGTCTTTAAAAAGGTGAGGTGCTTTGATGCCTCAGATAAAGGAAACCTCTAAAAAAAAAAAAAAAAAAAGGGATTGTCATTTGAACTTCGAACTTAAGTTCCAAAAGAAAACAAAATAAGTAAATACTAAATACAAAAAGCAAAAGCAGATTCCATGTCGAATAGCATAATTAGATGACTGAATTGTTGAAATCTATGACAGATAATTAAGTTACCATTTCGCAACTTTTGCTTAGTTGGGAGATCTCCAATCTCTTTTCGTTTTCTAAGTATCTGTTGACGCATTCGTGCATCAAAGTTGGCCTCATCATCATCACTATCATCAATGACATCAGAAGGTTCCGCTCTTGATTCTTTCGGCAACTCCTCTTTCTTTGAGATTAGAGCTTCTTTAACTCTTTTGGCTTCAGATGAGTTCTGCACCTAAAAATTTAGTTTAGATATGTCTCCTACATAATATAATTGCTTATTAATTAACCGAGACAACATAAGCACGTACATTTGATTCACAGATATCAATCATTTATGTAGTAATTTAAAAAAAGAGAGAAGACATGTGCAAATTTAAAGGAAGTAGTGTAAAAAAAGCGCAGGGATGAAAGCATGCTGAATAACACATAAGCAAGAACTTCAAGAACAAAAGCAAAGAATAGCTAGCTTAAGAAGTTGCACACATGCACAGAAACGCACATAGAGAGAGAGAGAGAGAGAGAGAGAGAGAGAGAGAGAGAGTATAGAGTTTTCTTGTTTTCAAATGGTGAACAATAGACCTCCTAATACACTACCATAGAAGGGTGAGACTAGTTCATATTTACCAAAACAGATATACTAGCCACAAAATACATGAAAGTATTATATAAAACTTGAGTCATTAAGAAAAGCATACAAAATCTAATTATTTTAAACCAACTTTCCATGTCACCAGTATTTTCCATCCTGGTAAGTATGCTGTAAAAGAACCTGGGGCCTATTCACTAGCAGATTGTCATGGTGCAATTATCTTAGATCATATATATATTTTTTTGATAAGTAATTATCTTAGATCATGACAAGGCATAATAATGATACAGGATTATTACCAAATCATTACTCGGATTGTCTGCCTTTAGAAGACGAGGATCATTTAATACATCATGACTGCTCTTTATTTTTTCCTTTACAGCTGACAGGTCCTTTTCTTCGTTTTCCGCTTCTTCCCCAAATGAAAGCAAGTTCAATTTTCTGCACATGGAAAATATAGGATACATAAAAACAGCAAGAGTAATGGTATAATATACTTTTACTTTGTGGGTATGTATTTAATTCCCAAAGGTAGGTGGAAAAAAAACTTACTTCACAGCTTTCTTCTTAGAAATTTTGTTGTCAGTATCAACTGTGGAAGAGGACAAAGACTTTGCACGTGCTACTCTTGGAACAATATCATCAAATGGGTTGAATAGTACCTACAGCATGGATTTCAATAAGAAAACTGTACAATGAAACCCTCTTCCTCAATGTCAGGCAGGACAGTTGTGAAGGTTAACTCAGATAAAAAAACCATATGAAAAATATCAACAATGTCAACAAAGGACACAGTAATGGATAAGACCAAGAAATATTGTCTGCCTGATGAACTACCAACAATCAAATACACCGTAGATGTGTCAAAAGTGTCAAAGAGTATTGTCTATCAATAATCTCCAGAATATAATGTGAGTGCCATAACTGTCAATGACTTTTCACTGCAATCAGGAAACAATGTGCAATTTACAACATTTAAAGAGAAACCTACCTCAACTGAGATTATCTTCGGTGGAGGTTCAATAGGCCGATCATTTTTATCAGTTTCAACTTCACCTAATCTTAAAAGATTATAGAGTGAATCCCCGGTTACCTGAAAAGAAGGAATGAGTCCTGGTAACCCCCAAAGCTGACAACAATAGATTTGTGAAACAAAATTAAAAAAAGAAGGAAACAAAGAAAGAAAAATATTACCTTTCCAAAAATGGTATGCTTCTTGTCAAGCCAATCACAGCGATCCAACGTTATAAAGAACTGGCTTCCATTAGAATGTGATGAACCAGCATTTGCACATGCAACTAAACCCCTGTGGTTGAATCTTAGACGCGAATGAAACTCATCAGCAAAGACACCTCCATAAATACTTTCACCCCCTGCATGTATTTAGAATCATTGATGGAAAAAAATGAATGGCAATAAGAAATAAACGATAAAAATGTATCCAGTAACGACCATGAAGGGAGGTCGATAGTGCATATGATAAACCAGCAGATATAAGATAATATACTGACTACCAACAACCACCTCGTATAGTAGTAGTTGTGAGATATTTAAATTTTATGTTGGCGATTTTTGTAGTCAAGACTTGATGATCGATTTGTAATTTTGTTTTATCTTGGGTTTTGATCATTGGAGCTGAATGGCGAGTGCCTCAATACCGTGGAAATGGATGAAACATCACTTAGAACAGGTATGTAAGTGACGACTCTTGGTTTTTCAAGTTTGGTGATTAGGATTTTGGAAAAGTATGGTTTTAATCGAAAAATCCAAATCAAGAGAAGTCCGACTGGTTGCACTTTTGGCGACTGGTTCAACTAGTCTCGGTTGTGACTTCCTGTGAGACCAGTCACACTTTTAGCGACCGGTCGCACTTGTCCTGATACTTGCGAAATTTTATGTTTTTAATAAGATTTTGTTTCCTTTTAACACCAAACCTCTTGAGAGGACCAACAAGCCAGCGGTCTAGCGGTACCAAGCTCCAACTTCTCAAAGAGAGGTCAGGGGTTCGAACCTCAGTGGAGGCATGTGTGTGTGAGTACCAATTAGGAAAAAAAAAAAAAAAAAACTCTTGAGAGGTCCTACAATGTTTTTTAAACTCTTTCTAACTATTTTGAGGACTCTCTAAGGTATTTAAACCTTTCTAATCTCCAGGCCAAATAAGACTTTGAAGGAATACACATAATTTATTTTTTACACCATTGTTGGAGCTTTTAGAATGATTTTTGAGAGAAAAATTATATTTTTATATTTTTGAGAGCACACACATACACTTGAGTGTTTTAGGGTGATGCTCTTCGTCTGATCAAAGGATTTTCAGAGACAACATCAGTTTTACTCAGTTAGATCAGAGCAGCACATTTCTTCTTTAATTCTCTGCACTTTTGAAAGGAAGTGGAATCAGTCACTATGACGAAGATAGATTGAGGAGTTAGCCTGGAGCTTGCAACAACCGGACGAGGAGTTATAGGAGTGAGTCTGAGGTGTTCGGCAACTAGTTCTTGGCAGAGTGGAGTCGGTGTGAGCCTAAATCAGAGTTTGTAACTTTCCTTCGACATAGTGGATTGGTTTCGCCTGAGACAAATAGTCTCCGTGGTTTCTGTGGGTTTTCACGTAAAAAAATCTGGTGTCCAGTTTATTCTTTCCTTGCTTTACTTTATGGTTTTACTTTGTGATTGGTGGGTGTTTAATTGCTAATTGTTGTGGGTAATTAATCAAACAAAAATCAGGCAAGAAGCCCTATCCTCTAGGTCATAAGAAATTGTCATTCACTGAATTAAATAACCACTTCTGGCACCACACAACTTACAGTAGTAACATGAAAAACAAGATTAAAAAGATTAGATTAACATTGCATTGATTTACAGAAGGTAATGTCATTGTTCTACAAATGGAACATAGATACAACCACTTTCTAGTTTTATACTGCTAATTCCCTTGAAAACCATTAAAAAAGAAATCTAGTAACACTGTCAGTCTGTCACAGATGAATGCCATTATTCAGGTAATGTGATATCACATTGCTCAACAAAAATATTACTTTTTACCACTAATTATAGTGAAACAACAAAGAAATTGGAAACCAATTGCTAATATACATACACATATATGATTAGGTAGGGCAACATCACAATTTAACAAATTAACAAAAAAAGGCCATACAATTATAAAGTTAGGGATTTTAGGTATAGTAACATCACAATTCCACAAAAAGAGGGCTATACAATTATAAAGGTATATATAGATAGAGTGGTTTTTTTTTTTTTTTTTTTTTTTTTTCCCTGAAAGGTTTGGCTACCTCCAATTTAACTTTGTACTCATGGTTGCAGTGAATATGATAATAATTAAGGAAGGCAACATAACTATGTAATAACTATGTATAATATGTTTGTATATATTGAGAGATGGAGGAGAGAGAGAGTAAACTAGGGTACCTGTGCCGGTACCGGTGGGATCACCGGTTTGAACAAGAAAGGATTTGATGATGCGATGGAAGATGGTGGAATCGTAGTAACCTTCAAGACATAGCTGGACGAAGTTCCTGACGGCTTTGGGTGCCTCCTTAGGCCAAAGCTCTATGTCGAGCGGTCCGTACGTCGTCGTCACTATCACCTTGCCTTTCGTCGGAGGCTCTGTTACGTATATAGTTGACATTCCGGTCGTTTATTTACTTTACACGCACAGATCGGCCGAGAAAATTTTCACTTACTTATCAATTGCTGTGAGAGTGCGACAACGCCTTTTACCTGTTTGTATTTTGGCCTCAACCAACGAAGATCGCAGCAGCACTTATTGTTTCTTGGTGTTGTAAAATAAATCTGATGATTTCGGAGCGACGACGTTGTATTTGTAAAGGGAAGGGAGGGGATTTGGGAAGGAAAGGAAAGGAAAGGAAAGGAGAAATAATTGAGGCAATGCAAACTGGTTAGTAAATTCTTCTAAGCCAATTTGGACAATACTTGGATGGACAACATATTTATGGCTCATGTGATAAATAATAAATTGACACGTTTTATTTTAATTATCAAATAATAGATGATAATTAAATTACTCTTTTTAATTTGATAAGTATTGTCTATATAATTTTAAAGAGAATCGATCAATCCGAGCATATTTCTAACTGAAGTTGGAAGAGTATATTTGGGCAACTCACCTCTTATCGGATATCTTAATTACTAAGACAGCAACTAGGGTGGACCAACCCGAACTGAACCTTTTGTTAAATTTTTATTAGTTTAGATAACTCGGGTTAAAAAATTTTAAATTCAAACTTAATTAGAAGTGAGATTAGGTTGAGGTGCTAATAATTCAAATTTTATTATTATTTTCATATGTATATATATATTAAATAATATTCAAATTATAATTACTTATTATTTATCAACCTCATTTGTTTAAATCTTAATATATTTAACACTCTGTGAATTATTTTTCTAATAATTTATTTGTAATTTATTAAAAATTTGTAATACGGTTTAAATTTTTTTTGTGCTTAGGAGTTATTATTTAATATGAAACTCGAGATAACATTTAAATCTTCAATGTGGAGATCGGCCGTAATTTGAATTAACCATACTTTTTAGCTCATATTATCAATTTGAGATAAAAAGAATGGCCCGGTTTGGAGGGGCTTCTTGATTCCAAAATTCATTCTATTTAAGGACCTATGAAGAATGCATTTCAATTGAATGAATGTAGAAGAAAAAAGTTGTTTGGGGATGTATTTTTTTTAATTCCTTTCAATGATTAATATAGTTTTAACTTAACAATTTTATCCTTAATAATTAACCTAAATAATTTCCAGGAAGACTACAAATCTATCTGTAGTTTAATTGACAAAGAGGATACAGTAGGGAAAAAATATTTTTTGACATACAGCAAGAATAAAGAAAATTATAAAAATAGAAAAAGAGATAATAAAAGTGATAGAAGTGAAAATAGCATATAAAAAATAATAATAATAAATAAATATAGTTATGTTCATGCTTCTATTGTTGTCGTGCTCATTAATTATTGAAGATGGAATGCTAATTATATACTTGAGAAACCGAATATCTCTTTATTGTGAAATCACTTTTTACTCTCAAACTTCTTTAGAGGTGGTCGGCAATGTGACAAGAAAAACGATGAGAATGCACTCGGGTGTGCACCAATTCACGGATAAAAATACCTTAAGAGAGAGGCTGGGATTTCAAAACGTATAAATTGAAAATTAAAAGTTTAAAGTTAACTTAAAAATTATAAAAGTATAATATTTAAAGAAGAATGAGTTGTAAAGAAAAAATATTCTTCAAGTATTAAAATTAATTCTACAATTATTTCAATTTTTTAAAAAGAAAATTTTGATTACATTGATTCCACTTTGAGAAATACATGTTATTATTACTTTGATGAAGTATTAAGAGATTTTTATTTATTTTTTTGATATTTTAACTAAAGAAAATTTAACAAAACATAATTAGCAGGTATAAAGAGTACCTATAGAATCTCTCATCTAGCACTTAACAACTAAAAATATTAGCATAGTTAACTTTATTGTTGTTGATATTTTCTTATCGTGTTAATATGACAATATTTAATTTTTACAACTTCTCCTTGGCCAATAAAAAAAAATTGATGTATTTTTTTTTCTTAAATGTATATCATAGATATTATACTTATTATATATGTGTAGATGTAAATAAAACAATGATATATTATAGTAAAATCTACCAATAATGAACTTATTTTTTTTAGGTTAGAGTAAAGTACAATGACACGTTCTAAGGTTTGTCATTAGAGCATTCGGGGCGCATTAAATGTAGAGTGATAATGTGTCAGTTTAGAGAGAGAAAGGGGCGGTATGACGAAAGAAATAGAGTGGTTTTTTTGTGGGACCTACACTCACTATCTATGCCATTGTCCACATACAGAGTTGCGTTCGGAGAATATCCATCTTTTTTTTTCTTTGTTTAGAGAATCTGATAGAAGGCAAAAAAACAAAAGGCAGATCATCATCACTTTTAGCTTACGTATGGATAAATAATAATAATAAAATAATAAATAGAGAATGAGATAATTAGGTTCCATACCATGGAACTAAAAAAAAATAAAGTACCACATTATCACTTTTTAGCTTACATGACACTCTACTTTTTAAAAAGTAGATAGAAAAGCATGGATGCCCACACCACTTGCTCTTAGGACAGATATATACAAGTTGGTTATTTTTCGGACAATGGCACCTTGAAGTTTGAAAAAATTGACAAAGATACCCACTGTAGCCACCTGTCACATATGACACATGGAGAATTGACCAACTTGTCCTTTGACCGTTTATTGAACCTTTTTAACTTTACAACTTAATGAATTGGACTAATCTATCCGTCATTAACATTTGATGCAAAAAAGTGGGAGGAAAAATTTGCACAACAATGAATAAAAAAATTATAGAAAATTCATTTGAAATCGAAACAGAGCAAACAAAAATGTTTTGGAAAATAGGATCATGGAAGTATAAAACTGAATATTTTGGTGATGATCCGATGTCTAGAAGGATGTCAAATAAATAAATTAAAAGCCTGATTTCAAACATTGGAAAATTCTAGACAGCAGTTGTTGTCGAATTTTTATAAAGATATATATTTGGCAAAAAATTATGAAAATTTTCAGAGAGTAATTGGACATGTAGAGGAATCTTTGGTAAAAATTTCATATCAATCGGAATATTACAATACCTTAGAGAAAATAATGAATTTTAGCACAATAAATTTACGCCATTTTGTTGCTAATATTTACTCAAGGGTAATTTTGACATTTCAAAATGTATGATATTTTACCATAAAATTGATTTTATTATTAAGGGACAATTTTATCTTTTTGAATCATTTAAAGTTTCATTGTCAAAAGGACGACCCACTTGTATATGTCAGTCGTTATGTCAAACCTCAAAAAGGTGTCATTATAGTTTATCCTCTAATTTACAAAATTGGAGCTTTCAAAAATAGGTTTTATACGTCCAAATAAAAAATTTATAGCTTGTAAGTTCGCTAAGCTGGACTGAGACAGGGAACAAAGCTAGAGGGAAGCCAGCGGGGCCATTTTCCCCGTTTTGTTCCTTGTTTGTTGGGTTGGGCTTCTCTTTAGTTTTGTTTGTATTTGGTCAGGGTTGTCTCTTTGGGTTTGATTTGGTCGAAGGCCCTCCTGGCTTCCCCCTGGCTTGGACCAGCTTAGCGAACTTACGACCTTACTCTGTTTTAAAGCTTCAATCAAGGTATAGGTTTCATGGACTTGACTTGTCCCTGTTTTGTTCCTTGTTTTTAGGCTGGGCTTATCCTTAGTTTTGCCTGTATTTGGGCAGGGTTATCTCTTCGGGTTTGTTTTGGCCTAAGGTGCCCCACAAAAATGTGTGAAATATCATTTTTACCCTTACATTTTTAAAACTAAAAATTTCAAAAATGGCCTAAGTAATACCATCTGTTGTTTTGGCCTGAGGCTTCTGAATTGCTTAGAACTCATTTTTTTTAATTGACTAACTATAGAATAAATAAAGACATGGAGTCATTTTTTTTAATTAAGTAATAAGTATGTATATCATTCGCTATGCGATCCCGTTTTGGTGTGACAATTACTGGTCAATAATAATACCACAAAATCTCTACGCCCCTCTCTCGACCAGTTCACCGCCGCTTCTCACCCGTTATCTCTCTTCTCTTCGTGTGAAGATTGAGAAATGATGGGTTAGGGTGAGGAAGAGTAATATAACAGTACTGAAGATTGAGAAATGATGGGTTAGAGAGAGGAAGCAATGTAACAGTACTGGGATGGCAATAAATTAGAGATGGATGGGTTTAGAGAGAGAAGTATATGAGAAGGATGTACTTAATACTTATGTAACAGTGGGTGCATGGGATGGTCAAGGTTTGGGGCTTTGAGGGTTTTGGATCAACATAAGCTAAGTCTTGTTGGTGGTGTGTTTGAAGAGAATGAACAGAGACCAAATCCAATTTTTCCAGAAAAGGGTAAAAATGCTCTCCTCCATGCCACACTCCTCTCTTTCCACCACCGGTTCAAACCTCACACTAATTTCCCAAATCTATTCTTTGCACAATCTTAAAACATTTCTCTACTCAATAGACCCATAGGTGCTGCGGAATTCAACTGGGGGGTATTCTGATTTTGATTCTATATGTGTTAGCGGAATTCAAACCGTGTGGTGAATTTTATTTTTTCGGAGAAGTGACTTAGTTGAAGTATGCCCTACTTTTTTTCAAGTATGATATGGGATTTGTATCGGCCGTTGTACTTTGGCTAGTTTATACTTATTTTGTCCGAATCAGTTACACCGTTACTCTTTTTTAAGTAGATCTGTATCGACCAATCCGTTATATTGATTTTGTCCGAATCAATTACATCACCATCGATAACCATGGAATAGACATAATATATATATTTATATATTTTGTGGAATTCAAATATGGGGGCAATGGTGGACAGATTCATAGGGTAGAAGGAGGAAGTAAGGAGAGCAATGGGTCCATCCGGCCTCCTGTTACAGAACAATCTACATCAGCCCCAAGGCAATCATTGTAGCAATTAAGGAGTTTCACTGCTGCATGCGGGACTATGGGATATGAGCAGCAAGCTTCTGTGAATTTGTGAGTAGTTAATTCTCATTGTCTTCTCTAATCTTGTAGAAATGATTTGTAATAGGTTAGTTTGTAGTCAAGCTTTAAACTCTAGTGGTGTTCATGGAAAACGGCGGCGAGAAGTTGGAAAGGGCATATGACAATAGGATTTTTGCTAGGTGCAAACTATTTCGTCCCTAGTGTGTAATTAGGACAAATTTCTAATCTACCCTAAATAAAAATAAAAGAGGTTATATACCCAAAAAAATTGCAATTCATTTATTATAAGAAATTGGGAGAAAGCAAGCAATTACTTTAATTGTTTATACTTTCTTCCATTATTTTTAGGCAAAAGAAACTAGAAATAATATTTAAGGGATTAACCTTACTATTAAATTTTAATTTTTTTTAATTTTTCCCCCCCTTTCCTTCCCATTCTCTATATCCAAAGTAACTCCAAAGGCATTCTTTTTTATAAAAATATTTAGTCTATTATGTGGAAATTTTTTTTAGATTCGGAATGTAAAAAGAAATCGCAAGTTGGTAAGTTGTTAATTCTAGCTTTTTTCATCTTTTGGCTAAGGTTTTTGAATTTTGGAAAAAATTTCAGTCAAATGCATAAAAAGCTTAGGATTCGATTAAAATCAAAATTCACATTTTTTTTAACATGATCTATTTCCTTGAATTCTATCTATGGTCATACGTATATAATTGATATATTTGGTGTAGACATCTTAAGGAAAGGTGCATGGTGTTGAGGAAATTTTTTTCAATTCACGTTTAGACAAAACAACTAACAAGCAACAACATGACAGTCAATAGTGACTGGGTCAAATGGCTAAAATGATTGGACGGAGGAGAAAGTTATTTCGCATTTAGTTAGTTATGTCTGTTTGTTTGTGAGGAGTTCCATTTTCCATGAACACACCAAGAGAAGAGAGAGAGAGGCCCTTTTGTCCCTTGTTCTTCCCTTTTCAACAAAATAACTTGAGCAAAAGTGGCAGCCCGTGGTGGCAGCTGTGGTGGAGGTAGGTAGTTTCCGTGGCAATCGCGGTGGCAGATGTAGATGTTCACATGTCTCATCACCTCCCATCCCGTGATGGCCTTGCTCAGCCCATGAGCTCTGTCGCTGTTGCTATTGACAAAGACAAGCACAGCCCGTGCGCTCTTAAATGGGCAGTCGATCATCTTCTTGTAAATAATTCAGCAGTCATCCTGATTCATGTCAGGACCAGAAACTTGCAAAATCGTAGGTACCCTCTCTGTTTCATCATGTCATCATCCTTGTTGTCATCATTGAATGTCTTGTGACGTGAGTGAAAAATATCAAATTAAATATTTCTAGTACGTACTTCATTGCCATTGTCACATAATTCATAACATCGTTTTTAATTTTTCTTTTGAGACTTTTGCAGAGAATTCCCCAGTGAATGAAGCTTCCTCGGGAGCATCTGATGCTGATGCACAACAGCTATTCAATCCTTACCGCGTATATTGTGCACGAAAAAAGGTATGTAATTTGGTGATAGGCAATGAATTTGAGTATGGCATATCAAAGATTGTTTACAAAAACTAATAAGGATAATAGGATTTTTTGGGCATGATGTTTTTTGAGACAATTCCAGTATGGGCCTTACATCATATACAAGGGTATGCGCATTATGCAAGTGGTTCATCATTATAACTATGACTATGACACCGTTCTTGAGTTCGTGGTAGCACAGACTAATTTAAAATCTGATTTGAATGGGTGTGGAGGGCATTTCAGATTTCAGTCAAAGAGGTTGTCATTGATGATGTTGATGTTACTAGAGCACTTGTGGAGTATATCAACAACAACTGTATCAACAATATTGTTCTAGGTGCATCAAAGAAGACTCTTTCAAAGTGTGTCCGTCTCTCTCTCTCTCTCACACACACACACATGCCCACATGCTAAATGAACATGTTACACACACATGCCCACAATCTAAATTGAACATGTACCCACACAGGAAATTTAGGCAGAATGATGTGCCAACTGCCTTAGTCAAGTCTGCCCCAGATTTTTGTTCTGTGCATGTAGCTGCTAAGGGGAAGGAAGTCTTTGCCCGACCAGCACCACGCCCTGCATCTAACACTGCTACTCCACCAAGGCAACCATCTCCGCTTCCATCTCACCACTCCGATCCGGAGGATGGAGCCAGGTATGTGATACAAGAGGTTGAAAAGTTGCTTGCACGTGCGCTAACTGCATCTGATTCTCTCAAATCAAATTAGAAAAATCTGAAAGTTAATCCAGAATGGGGAAGGATAGTTACCCAGAGAAAAAGATACTATTTGCTAGTAATTTTAAAGAATGCTAAGGTTTACTTCATGTATGCATAGATATAATGTACCGTTGGGAAAGAGAAGCAGAATGAAAAAACTCTGTTGCTTATGCTCTCTCCAGGTTGTAGCATAGTACCAATTTGCTCTTTAACAACTATTGTGTTTTGGTATTTTGGTGAAAACAGGGCACAGACTATGAGGGGTGGGCAAAAAAGTGTAGGACATGAGAGAATAAGGTGCAAGAACTCTGCAACCAGTTTGTCATTGGACATTACTCACACTCCTGTTAGTGGGCCAAGACAATCAATTAACCATTCACTCACTGATGACAATTTCCATTCGCCATTAGATACTGAATCAATTGATATCAGCGCCAAAAATTTAGATTTTACACAGGTAGCGGAATCTCCCGAGGATAACCACTCACCATCAATCAAAGTAAGTTGAAAACAAAACCGAGTAGCGAATTCCACTAGGAAATTCCATAAAATGGACTGTTGTGATCATTTAGTTAGAACAAATGCCTAATCAGAAGTGATAACAATTACAAATTATCTGGTTCTGTGAATTGGTCGATTGGCAGAAAGGCGTGGAAGAGGAGATGAAAAGGCTGAAGCTTGAGCTTAAGCAAACCATGAACCTATATAACACAGCTTGCAAAGAAGCAATCACAGCAAAGAAGAAGGTTCTATCATCCCTTTACAAATTATATTACGGAATTATAATCTTCATGTGCTGTCTGAAAGTTGTTTTTGACATACTGTCTGTGGAAGTACATTTGCATTTAGTCTTCTCATGATTTCTGCAGAAAAAAAGAAAAAGAAAAGGCCAACTACGATTTGACTATTTCATTATCTTGATAATCTTATGTTTCTGGAAGATAAATTAGTGTAATAAACAACAAGTGTCACTATTGCACACCTATTTTTATGAAATTCACTATGTTCTTTTGTACAGAAGTTTAGTAGCACAGCTTGGTTGATGAAAGGTTCATCAGGGGAAAAAGAGAATAAGATGGTTAATTATTCACCGTGTTGCCAAATCAGTCTGAATATAAAATAAAGAAAAAAGAGGAGACCCGCACTTTTTTGAAAGTATTACTTGTCTGAATTATTCCAGGCTAAAGAGCTCCATGAATGGAAGAAGGAAGAAGCTCGTAGATTTGAGCAAGCCCTGCTCGCAGAAGAAGCAGCTCTTGCCATTGTTGAGATGGAGAAAGCTAAATCAAGGGCTGCCATTGAAGCAGCTGAGAAGGCACAAAAGTTGGCCGAGATGGAAGTACAGAGAAGAAAGTATGCGGAGTCTAAGGCCAGGAGAGAAGCAGAAGAGAAGAATCGAGCACTAAATGTTTTATCCAACAACGATGTGCGTTACAGAAAATACACCATAGAAGAGATTGAATTGGCCACTGACCATTTCTCAAACTCTTTAAAAATTGGTGAAGGTGGCTATGGACCTGTATATAGAGCCAAACTTGATCACACCCGAGTTGCCATTAAAGCTCTTAGACCAGATGCTGCACAAGGGAGGAAGCAATTCCAACAGGAGGTAGGCCAGGATGTTAATTATTTTCCATTTCTTACTTTAGAAATTTGATGTAACAAAATCTTTATATTGTTGATCCCATTCTAGATTTATGTAACTTCAAATGCTGCATCAAATATTGTAGAACTACTCAGTTTTTTATGGGATGTCCCAACATGGATGGCCTTGGTTTTTAACTGTATATATGTATTGGATTTTGTTTGAAGAGATTATTTCTCTTAAGTTCGCTTCTTATGACACGTGTTTCCATTCATGTACAGGTTGAAGTCCTCTGCTGCATTAGACATCCAAACATGGTCCTCCTCTTAGGTGCCTGTCCCGAGAATGGATGTCTGGTATATGAATTCATGGATTTTGGCAGCTTGGAAGATCGCCTATTTCGGAAAGGTAACACCCCTCCAATTCCATGGAGGCTTCGGTTCAAAATAGCAGCTGAAATTGCAACCGGACTTCTGTTCCTACACCAGACAAAGCCGGAACCCCTTGTGCACCGGGACCTTAAGCCAGCCAACATCCTCTTGGACCGCAATTTTGTGTGCAAAATTAGTGATGTTGGCCTAGCACGGTTAGTCCCACCTTCTGTGGCTGATACTGTTACACAATATCGCATGACTTCAGCTGCTGGAACATTTTGTTACATAGATCCTGAGTACCAACAAACAGGAATGTTAGGAATTAAATCAGATATATACTCACTTGGCATAATGTTACTCCAAATTATCACAGCAAGGCCACCAATGGGTCTCTCCCACCATGTTGAGAGAGCCATTGAGAAGGAAACATTTCCAGATTTGCTTGATCCAACAGTACCAGACTGGCCGGTCGAAGAGGCTCTTACTTTTGCAAAATTGGCACTAAAATGTGCTGAGCTAAGGAGGAAGGACAGACCAGATCTTGGTTCAGTTGTATTGCCAGAGCTCAACAGGCTAAAAGATCTTGGAACAAACAGCAATTCGAGTAACAATACTGCTCATGTAGAGCCATGACCAACATAGAGAAGGGTTGTCAAATGCGAGCCAGGTTGGTGATCTCTTCATCACAGATATACTAAAAAAAGGAGAATAGAAAATTGACGTCTTCTAAATTCAACTTTGAACAGCTTCAATTAAAGACTGTTGGATTAGGTTAGTCATTTTATGCATTTAAGTAATAAACATGTTTCAATAGAATTTAGTTAGAAGTAATGATACTCTCTCTGAATAGAGACTGAATGCTCCCGCGTATGGTCTCTTTCTTTAACATTTTCCTTCAGTTAGAAGTGAAATGCTTATAAAATTTAAGATCACACTTTAGCAAGCACTGTTCATTGCAAGGAGCATATGAAGAAAAATGAACTTGTAACTTACTCTCAGAAAAAGTATGCAAGCCTTAGGTGGAATTGGGTGTTCTGAAATGAATTAAAACATAGCAACAACCAGTAAATCAACCCAACCGCACCTTGTCACATCCATTGCTGCATCAGAAGATTTATTTTTCTTATGCATTATATTTTTTTTGTTTTGGATAAATTAGGAAGTGATAAGTGATGAATCCAATAGAAGGTTGCAGGCATTGAAGTTGAAGACTACATATGGAGAACCCGTGAACAGAAAGCTGCTTCTTCTTGAAGAATGAAAGAACAATGCAATCAGAAACCAAGATGGAATTAACTGAAGAATGTTGTGGATCACGAAAGTTTGGGAATTCCATTTCACTACAATTAGAAACCAAGATGGAAGCTGCTCCTCCTTAAAGAATGAAGGTTGTGCTTTCATCCTGGAAAAGTAATCTGTAAATGGTATTACTTGAAATCTAGTCAATACTATGCTTGCAGCATAATAGGATAGGTATAATTAAACATTGTAAAATTTTCAAATGATAAAAAACTTGATTCCATTTTGTAATTTCAAATGTTAATTTTCAAAAGGACACTGGTTGATTGTAACACTGTTATTTATCCCATGCTATGGAAATTCTTAAATTACAAGGCCAACCAATATCCAACATCATTTACTGGTTGAATGTAGGATCACTCTCTGGTAAAATCCTTGCCTCTCTTCCTTCGAAGGATTTTTTTTTTCCCTCTCTCGTTGGCAAGAAACTAGGGACTTGAATTCTCACTTCTCACTTTACAATGCGTGGGGTCTCTTCCTTCCAAATTTGCTAAAGCTAGTTCCTTTTTCTCTAATGGAATCTCTGGAATATTCCCCCTTTGATTTCGAACTGTCCATCGCTTGCTAATAGTAGAATTTTTGGGTTCCCTTAAACTAATAAGGTTGACCTCACAATAAAAGTGGTTCATATTTTGGTTCACTTGCTTTTTCTAATGGAATCTGATTCCATTTCTTGGAGAGTAGCCCCTTCCAACACTTCCTCAGTTGCTTCTCCCTCTCCTTTGCAGCATCTTGTGTGGTTTAATCCCTCTATTCTTTAAATTACCATATTTTAGACAAATTAATAAAATAATGCACAAATTATATCATCACATTGTCATTATTAAAAGTTTCAAAATACCATAAAATGAAATTATAGGAGACGGTCAAATTAAGTTAGTAGTGTATTTTACTATTGACCTCCTAAAATTAGTAAAAAAAAATTATTGTTAATTTGTTTTAATTTAAATGAATTTTAAGTTAGTAGTGAATTTTACTATTGACCCTCTAAAATTACTAAAAAAAATCATTGTTAATTCGTTTTAATTAAATGAATTTTAAGTTAGTATTGTATTTTACTATTGACCCCCTGAAATTACTAAAAATAATCATTGTTAATTTGTTTTAATTTAAATGAATTTTTTGAGGGACAGACTAGAAAATCATGTGAGGAGGGCAATAATAATATATATATATATATATTTTTGTAATTTTAGGGAGTCAATAGTAATATTTTACGAGTATATAATTGAAAAAAATAAATTAACAAGGGTGTATTACTAAAAAGAAAAAATTACACCATATAGATGTAGGTCGTGCCTAAATTTTAATACAAATTTTTGATTATATAATTCTCATACAATCATATTTCTAACAGATTAGATTTGCATTTCAATGTTTATACACGATGATAAAAATACATATTTTGTGGTCTAATGGCCATTCTCACTTGTTCTTTAGCAGCAGTTACTCTTCCTTTATTTGCTCTGGCATTCAGTTTATTTGTGATTTTCACATTCTCCGGAGCACTGGTCTTCCCTTATCCAATGGACTGCCTAAAAGTTCCATACGGTCAAGGTTTTGAGAAGGTGGCTTGGGCCACTTTATATATTTCTTTATATTTTAAAATAGACGAAAATAGGATTCCTGATGTAGATGAATAAGAACAAAGAAGGTGTAGAAGACCCAATACGAAGACGGAGAACATACATAATTTTTATATAAATCTCACAAATTTTGATATATATATATATATTTTTTTCTCACTTCTTGCTTACAAAAGAACTTAAGAACATATATTTGTAGGTATCAATGCATGACTCTAGAAAGACACAAATTACAAGACAATAAATAAAATAATAAGTTTAATACAAGTGTTTCATTTCCCAATGAGTTGGTTTATGTATTTAACATTTGAGTTGGTTCATGTATTCCACACTTAAGTTGGTTCATGAATTTATTTTAATTTTCTAACAATGCCGCTCGTAAACCAAATTTGCTTTTCATTCTCAACTTTGCAAGATTCTTCTTGAATAAAATTCCACAAGAGTCTTTTTGTTTGATGACAGATTAATCAACTCCCATATGCCATTATTTTCAATAGCTTTGATTTCTTCATTCATTGCTTTCTTCTACTTTTCTTCTTTGCAATTCATAAGAGATTAGATCTCCCCTACAAACATTATATTGAGCTTTATAGCCGTTACATGCATCAAATTTCCAATGCTTTCAAATGCAAAAATCTTCTTTGCAATCTCCTTTGATGTGCAGGCTTTGTATCTTGTCTTCTTCATGCTTCTAGTACTTTTCTTGACTTGACCTTGGAAACCGATTTCCAATGTTGTTCTTGAGATTCACTTGAAAATTTTCACACTTTTTGAATTTACGTTTAACTTGCTCATTTAAATCAAAGAACGCTTTAATGTTCACCCATGTCATATCACTAGAGAAATATTCTATACAAACGTTCTTCAATTTTTCTTCAACTATAACATCATCCAATTAAACATATTTCGTTTCTTCTTAGATTGAGTATGTTGTTTCATGCAGAATTTCAAACCATTTGTTTTCTTCACCAAATAATCTTTCGTATTGCAAAATTGTACTTTTTTTCTCCTCAATAAATTTTAAGGTTAGTATCGATATTTTCAAAGTTTAATAAAAGATCCTTTCACTTTTTGAAGGATGATCAAAATGCAATTTGAAGAGTTAAACAATCATTCCTAATCCCTTGTATTCCTTCTTTAAAACCAAACATAAATTAAAAGAAGCCGAATTACTTGTCCAAATAATAATAATAAGATTTATGTTTCTAGGATGAAAAAAAATTGAATAGAAGAGAAAGAAGACAAGATGAATGAGAAATCTCTATAGAATAGATTGTGTCATTATCTTTTTTTGTTAGGTTGAACTAAATAGAAGAAATTGATAATTTACTTTATTTAGACAGGAGATAATGGAAGAGAATTGTTTAGGTAAGGGAGAGTTTTAAATTATTTTTACTATTATACCATCACTATTTATAATATGAAAATTTATGAATTTGGAAGAACGAAAATTTATGAATTTAAAACATACTTATCCATCATATTATCCTTTTATTTGCTTTAGGGGATTTGCCAATTCATTTCTATCCTTTACTTCACGTCTCTTATCTATGACTTTAAACAACAAGAGATATATATATACATACATATATATATATACATACATATATATATATATATATATATATATATATATATATTCACTTGCTCCTCATGTACAAAAAAAAATCTATACACATTTTAAAGTATTAACTGTCAGATTTATTAGACCAGATAAAAGTAGTTTATATTTTTATGGTGCATAAATTTCTTGTACACTGGACAGAGTAAGTGAACAGTTATATATATATATATTATATATAATCAGCAACATTATGTTACTTTGAAAAAATTAGATCAAAAGATAGGTAAACAATCATATATATATATAATCAATGTTAAGTTACTTTAAAAAAAAATCAACGAAACTGGTGTATTTTGAGGCATTTGATGTCATATGAGAGAATACACTATTGATGAAGTATAGGAGAGAGAGCCTAAAATTTTGTGGATATGACAAAATGGAGTCAATATCTTAAAAGAAGTATTTGCTTCTCCATGGCAGTTGATAATATATATATATATATATATATATATATATATGTATGTATTAATTTACCTATTGGATCCACAAAACTTTTAGATTTGAATATAGTTTAGTTGTTTTGTGGAATATTGTGGGGAGAGTTAGAAGATTTTAAAATATCAGAGAACTTACAAGTTTTGCAGAGTCTAGAGGAAATTAGAGTGTTTTGTGAAGATATCTTTGGACACTTATAAAGATTAGATACAATGGTTATAAATAGGTAAGGTGTCTTTTGAAATTACAAGAATGAGAATCAGCCACCAACAATGCAACACAGTGAGAGGTCGCAACTGAGAAGGCTATACGCAACTTAGGAAGGAAAGATAAAAGTAAATCAGCACACCGAATATAAGAAGTTAAAATTTTCCATTTCACAGCTACCACTTTGTTCCCCATCCCAAAACTAACTTAGCTTGTGATCGATTGTATCTCAATATGTGTTAAAAAAAAATAATCAAATATTTTGATAGTTTATAATCGGATTAAAACCATGTGCATACCCAACCCTAAAAATTTCCCTTTCAATTGAGATTAACCCTTATAATCTTTATTCAAATTTATGTTCAACGCACTTATTTGCGACTAATATTGTTTTATTTATTTTTATAAAATAAAAAAAGTCGAACACCCATATCATTGTCAATTCATATATATATATATTTAGGGTAAGAAATTGACCATCAGTAGTAGTGAATCACACAAAAAAATTTGAATTCCATACTGAACTTCACATGATTGCTTCAAGATTTACCTGTCATCCAATAGTTTTCTCATTCTGTTATTCCATATTGAACTTCACATTATTGCTTCAAGATTTACCTGTCATCCAATAGTTTTCTCATTGTGTTTTATTTCATGCCCTTTGTGAGCCTTACAAATCAATATATATATATTTTTTTACTTCTTAAAAACATACAAGCCCATGCCATCATTAATTAATACGAATTTCATACCATACATTAGAACAACATATAATTTCCTTAACAAAATGTGTAACTTGCTTTCCTCTTGTCTAGCCGTTGTTGGTAATAAATTAAAGATCTACCACTGCAAAGAGAACAATTTTTTCGTATAAACATGAGATGCAAACAGCTTAGACTTCCAGATGAATGTAACACTCGCACTTTTTACATAAACGGAAAAAAAAGAAAAAAAGAAAAGTGATTTATTAAGTGCTGTTATGGTGTCCAAATCACATATGGCACTCAATAACTAAGAACCCTGACCATGCACCCTCCGATCTGAAATGGTGCAACCCCAAATTTATTCCAACATAATGAATTTTGATGCCGTCCATACTGCATATATACTGCAAATCAAACAAAGTTATACACAAGCACATAACAAAAAAAAAAAAAAAAAAAAAACACACACGGAAAGAAATCAGAAAACAACCTACATACAAGGAAAGAAACACAGATCAATCTACAAACAGATTATACAGAGAAATATATATATAGAGAGAGAGTGGCGGGGTGACAGACAGAGAGTGAGCACGCAGAGCTTCGAGCATGGAACAATCATGCAAGAAAAGACCATGTGTGCTCACTCTCTTCTGTCACCTCCCTTAACCCTTCAAAAAGGAACCCCATGCCTTGAGTACTATCTAAATTTGGTATCC